TAAATCTGGTTTCACTTAATCTTTAATAAAACCTTGACGAGTGCACCTCAATAAGGATAACACAATCTTGGTATTTTATTTTTAATCAAGATAGGAAATTGCATAGATTAGTRATTTTCACTGTTAATAACAAAGCAATAGACCTTGTAATTAAAAATAACTTTTAGGAGGCTGCTAAATGATTTTTATAATGATTTAAGGATCAATTACAGAAGAGATGTCATTCTTCCCTTTCTAGTTAGATATATTGGAAACAGTGAAGCTGAGAAGTTCTCATATTAACCATTTTTTTATTACAATGAGGACATTTGTATGGTCTGTATCAGAAAAGTTTAACAAAACCCAGTTCAGGGACTTCTCTTTAAAGGACATTTGATGGTAAAAAAAAAAAGTGCAAAAATTATGTTGTTAGTTCTGCTGCTTTGTGGTTGGGATATATGGCCTTGAAGATTACTGCTCTATCAGCCTTACATGAGGATTTAGCACTCCCATAAAGCTACTCAGCCTTGTAGGAGCACAAAATGCAGCTTCAGTTTGGACCTGGGACAGGCCAGGGAAGCTACAGAGTACAGGGGGTGCTGTGGTGTTGGGAGCCATGCACACACCAGCACTGCCACGGGACAGCACCACCTCAGCCTCCCCAGAGAGTCTGCTCRGAGATTTCCCCACAAGAACACTTCCACTAAAAGCAATTCAAATCAACAGAGACCCCAAATCCTGTCTGGCTTGGCCTCCCAGCAACAAAAATCACGATGTGAGACTGCACCATTGCTCACCTGGCCTCTGCAGTGTGAAATGTTCTTGTTTGGTCTTGGCTTTATGACACAACTGAGAAACCACAGAATCCCTATGGTTTAGGTTGACAGGGGCCTTAAAGGTCATTTAGTTCCAACCCCTCCTGCCATGGGGCAGCACAACGTTATGAGAAACCCTAACAATGCAACCGCAACAAAAAACAAAAATGAACCATATGCTGCTACTGCATTGGGGTCAGCCCCATCTCTGCCCTCAACATTCCATCGCTGGCCTTGAGCCAGCTCCAGCACCAGACTGGCTGCACAGTGAAGCAGTTCAGCACCCCAAAATTACTGAAAACCAACCCAGAAATAAGATTCAAAAAGAAAGAGGAATCGTTTCACCAGGTTAGGAACCCACTTACCTTGCAGAGCAGGGAGCATGGCGAGGCAGGGAAAGCAGGAGCCTCCTCTGGGGGGTCAGGCTCTCAGTTACCCCAGTCTGGCTGGTGCTGCCCACAGGATCTGCTTCCACACACCTGCAGCCTTCAGCCTCTGACAGCAGCTCAGGGGAACAGCTCTGCTGGGAGAGCCTCCTCCTTCCCTTCCAGAGCAGAAACAGCTGCCAGATAACAAGTCCTTCCCGTCTCCCAACCCCAAGAGGCTCTACTGCCTCCAAATTTAGGCAGAAAATTGAGGCCTGAGCAAATACCTGCTGCCAGCCAGGTTTCTCTTTGCTCAGCATGCCAGGTTTCCACCAACAATAAAAGCAAATAAAATCTCCCCCACTGTGGCTCATCACAGGTTTCCTAAACTGACCATAMCCTAGAAAACCCCTGACCAATGCTTTTATTAATAGCAGTCTGTGTTAGAGACACAGAATTCTCTTTTCAATTTCTRTTATTTTTATAGCATTGAAATTCATTTAAGAGATATCACATTTTTCATCTCCACCTTGCAAATTAATTTCCTGTTACTCAAAGCACCCTGCTCAGATAAACCCTTCTCTCTTCACCCCTGTACACAACTGAGCAGCAGCCAAGGACAGTTGACTYAGAGCTGAATAATATGCACTGGTGCTAAATGAAAATTAAACCATAAATATTTTAAAATACCTGATTTCCTGGATAGTAAAAGTGAAATGTATCATTTGTTTAAACTACCCTATTCATTATTTCTTTCCTCATTTCATAAAACCCAGCCACTAACAAGARCCTACATAAATAGAGCTTGAACTTTCATCTCGGGAAGTTTAATCAGAAAGCTCTTCAGGAATATTTTATTCCTTTTATCAGAATATTGATGGAAGTCATAATTCACCTTAATGTGAGAAAGTTTCCTTTCTTCACTAAAGAAATTCATCAAGACATTTCTTGTTGGTAAGATGTGACATAAATCCRCTTGCTTTTTCCTCTGTTTGATCTCAGCACTTTATGAATTTTTGATTGCCTGCTCTTAATTTTCCACAAGCAAATTCAATTAAAGAAATTAAAACCCAGTAGTTCAACCCTGATTACCTCATCAGCAAATGGCTCTTTTATTGCACAGTGGATGACATATGCTGCACTCTCCTGGTGCTGCTAGAGCTCTTGTAAAACCGGATCAGGAAAAGCCTTTCCCCTTTTATTGGTGCTATTAGGCAACAGCTATTGACATCCCAAGCCAATTCAGCAAGCACTTCCCTTGCTCAGGCAACAGTCCAARGGCTATTGAAAATGAAAAAATATCCTTGGAAAAAAAAATCAAAGTCATTGTGTGCATGTCAAACCTTTCACCTGCACAAGGGCGAGGTCCCTTTTCCATGACAGAATGACACACAAGTGAACTTGAGAAACAACTCGGCACAGCCTCGGGCAGGGTGGAGCTGAGAGATCGCAGCTTGGCACCTTTGTTTCCGGGATCACCTTGCTACAAGTGCAGGCTCACTTTTATAGTGCCACACAGCAGGGACTGGATGGCAGGATGACTCCTTTAGGATACAAATCACCACTGTTCATTGGCACTGCAGCCTGTTACTGAACGCTGGGSCATCAGCAGTGGACAGGTTTTAAGAACACTGATATTACTATGACAGTATCATTTGCTGCAATGTATTCACAAACTTTGGGGTGACCAAACTACCTCCTCAGGCAACTTGCTGCAGTAACTTGTCAACCTGATGGAGACACACTTGCACAAACACTTAAAATAAATTAGTATCCTAGAACAGGATCTGTTTAGATAATTAAATGCCTTTGAATTTAAAAATATTCCCATAATCTGCCCTTATTGTCATTAATGAAGAACCTAATTTTAAAACATATTTGTATATCCAGAAGTTCTTCTTACTTGTGTGACAGATGATATGCATCATAGTAGAGTGAGCAAATAACAGCTCATCTTAGGTGCTTGAAGTACTTGAGTGAGGCAAAGCTTGGCTCTGCTGTGCAAACCAGCATTTCATGACCACAAATATCACTTACCCAACTCTAAACATTTCAGGACTGATACAACTTTCAGGAGCAAAAGGCTCATGGTGTGATTTTCTCCAATAAAGTAACCGTCTAAAGAGCATTTTCACAAAACATCTACATGGGCAATTCAGCAGAGAATTGATTAACACTTGCAGTCCARCCCAGGGGAGCTGCAGGTCATTAGCCCTAAATACCTAATGAGCATCCCAGATGTGGGACAGGTATTGTCACGGCAAAACAACCCGGTTTAGTAAATGAGCTTATGCCRAGCCTTTGTTTCTGTGAGCTTTTTAGGGAAAGATGTCAATCTTGCCATTAGCTGTGTGCATTTCTCCTCTGGAAATTAGTGGAGGAACTTAGTTGTCGAAAGCTCAAAAGCTGTAAAGATTAGTATTTCTCTCCTTAAGAGTTTCTCCACAAGGACAAACAATTTGAAGGAAGGAGGGCGAGGAAATGCAAGACTATTCCACAAACATATTAACATATAGTCTTAAAGAGGACAGTATCATTTGTTTAGAAAGCCCAAAAGAACACATTTACATTGATTTTATTCCACCACTCAAACTGTGCTTCAAGAGCTTAGGGAGCCAGCCAACATGGAAGAAGTTCCTATCTATGAACTCCAGAAAATAACAGAATATGCCTCATTTCTATTGATTTAGACTGATGTTAGTTTTCTATCTTTTTTTAACAGCTATTACAGTAAGGAGAGTGGTTGAAAATGTAACATCTGTCTCAATGGCCTAATTCACTGAAGAGAAAATGGCATTTTAAATGAARCTTCTTACATGGGTATCACAGTACCTCTGCACAGCCAGGTTCTTCAGGGGCTCACTGAGGGTTCTGTGTAAGGCCTGTGGCACCAAGGTGAAAGGAACACAAGCTTCTGCCAAGCGTGAATGTATTAATTTCTACTGTCAGAATTACTACACTTCATGAATGTTGCCTTAGGACAAAGTTACTGAACTTCCTAGGTGYACAAACATTAGCCAGCCCCTCAAATTCCAGTATTTAAACATCCTAAAGAAGCTTTGCAGAGTACCCTTTCCCTTTCAGATCTTGACCACAACAGTGTTACACTTTAAAGTAGGTATGTTCAGGTAAGAATTTCAAATATCTTCCACAAGAATTATTAACTATACAACTCAGACTAAACAGCTGCATGTTAAAGAATGTACTAATTCCTATAGCTTAAAAAWTTTTATTTAAGGCTTGCTATCTACCCTACACACCATTTAACTGATGCATAAAAYAAACCTTCATACACCCAACAGAGAAGATGGTTTTGAATTGGTTTYCAATTCCAAGCATAAGCAAGTTTTTTATCATAAGTTACTGGATAAAAGCAGTAAAATAGTTGAGAAACACAAGCTTATTATTGTAATTTATTTTAAAAACCTTATTCAAAATATTAAGTGATACAAGTCCAAATATGATAAAAATTACTGCAAGAAAAGAGGTTTGGGATATTTTGTTTGTGCTTTACTTCCTGTAATTATGAAAAGAATGCATTTAACAGTAGGATATAGAACTTTTAGCACTTCATTCCTAARACAGTATCATGCCTTCAGACTCCTCATGCCAACAGGCGTGAAGTTGATTTGTTTCCAAATGTTACATAACTACTTGAATACCAAGTCATTAATTATRGGGTTCTGATTCACCATTATTTACAAATTTATCCGTTTGAAAACTAAATCACAAACAGAATGTACAAAAAACTAAAATTATATATTTTACAACTCATGAAAACATAAATAATGGAAGTACAAAAGACAAATTAAAAAAAAAWWWAAAAAAAMMAAMMAAAAAAAMYTATTGTACCAGTAACTTGATTTACACTAACGCGTAAATGTTTGTCAAAAATGAGAGTGCACTGTCCACTGACTGGTAGCCCCCACACCTTTACTTTCACCTGTCTGTTACCTGGGTCAGAAGAACAATCAAATAAATTATTCTTACAGTTTCTCCCATTTATAATATAACAAATCACATAGCCATTTCCCAACGGTCTTAAAATTCAACAGAAAGCTGTGATGTATTGAAAGCRTGTCACCTATCTATATTTTAGTAAGATTATTCAACAAGGCTTATTTTCCACTCATTAATTACAAAGACAATTAAGTAGTCATAAATAGCATTAGAGGGGAAAAAAAAGACAGTCAGGAAGCTGCATACCTTCACAAACACCTTAAACATTTTAGGAAATATATGGTATAAAACTTCTGAAATAAAATGGGTTATACATAATTATTTTTAAAATATTTACTGCATTAACACATAAAGAAATTATTAAATTGCCATTCTAGCTCTTTTGCCTAAAATAAGATCAAATTATGCAACAAGAAAACAGAATCAGAAAAAAACAAGATGAAAGACTTGCAGCATCAGGATWTAAATACAGAAAAAAGTAATTATATTTTAAGTTTGCAATACAGTGGAATTTATGAGCCATGTAAGTGATTAGCAAAGAGATCATTAATTTGATTTAGTGATGCCAAAGTCATTAATTTCTTAGACCTAAAATATYTTATGCTTATTTTTTTGTAATATGACTATTAAGACTGCTCCAGACAGAAGGGATGATGCTTAATGAATGGAAAAAGCACTAATTTATTAAACTCTGTATCTTTATAGTTGATGTAAAACCTGACCAAAGTAGCAAACAGATGGATCATGCCCTTGATCTTCCATGAGATTTAATCTCCAAAACATCCAGGTCACAGAGAGTACATCTCATTTCCGTACAAGCAGCTTATTTAGAATACCTGAATATCATTACATGACTGGGCAGGCAAGAAGTGATAAGTTCAGCAAACTCAAATCACAGTGCTTTCAAAACACATAGTCATTGGTTATTTTCAGGGAAGGCATCGCTTCRTTAACGTTTTGATCTAAACGATGATATTCCACTGTCCTGGAGCACARGCCATCCCTCCACCTTCGGCTCTGTACCAGTAAGAAGATCTGGAAGAAAAATGGGACAGTTTATAGATGCTGTGCAGAAACATTTTGAGTTTTGCTGGACTGACATCACAGTCCAACCCCCCCCATGCTGGCATTACTGTCACAAAGACAAGGCGTTTTTTAATCACTTATTTGAACTGCTCTCAGATAAACTTTCAAATGTAAGAGTCTGCAACATCTTCCCCTATAAAGAGCTGGCAATGTACATTACAAATAGGCCTCTGCACAGTAAAGGTTTGGGGTTTTTAGCTGCTTTCTTTTCAGAGTTCCACAAATCCTCACCCAAATCAGTGTTCTCCCCAAAGATAAACACTAAATTTTCCTCATATCTAGAAATTAATCTATGATTTAATGCAAATTTGTGCATGCACCTCTACTGGGCCTGGTTGGGCTGGAGTTAATTTTCAATGCTAGCAAAATATTTTAAAGTAACAGTCAGGCTTCTTCTGAGATACAGAGAACAAGCTTGTACCGAAGAAAAGCTGCCTGAAAATAGTAATTTAGTAGCTTCTTCAACATAAAACTGAGGCAGTGTTAAACATTTTCTAACTTTGTAATTAAGCCCTCAGAACATTTACAATAYGAAGACCATCTTAAAGAGAACTATTAGAAGGATTATCACAGTCGTAACAATTGCAATTAAACCTCCCTTAATTTGTTGTTTATAATCCTGTGCAGGGGGGGAAAAAAAAGGTTAATAGTTCACCCCCACTTGACTTGGCTCAAGTCTCCTTTATAGAACACATGCTGTGCACTGCCAGTGTCCATTATTGTACCCATGGATTACTGATGTTACCAATTAACTCATTTTCTAATTGAAAATGTTTGATTTGAGTTCATTTTCATTGTGCAGATAAATATGACAGTAATGATSTGCATACTAGTATCACCACAAGACTAAGTGGTCAAGGTTTCATACCAAAAAGCTAAGTTCCTCTTCCTAAAAAAGAGTACAAGACAATGCAACTTTACTTTAAACACTCCAGCTSTTTCTCTCAACCTTTCAGAGCACACCTACCTTCCTCTTATTGTGATAGGTGACATAAACAACAGCAACTAAGAAGGCAACTACAACCAAATGAAAAAAGAAATGGCTGTCTTCTTCTTCATCCAACCCTGAGACTGAAACACTTTTTATCTTCTCATCAAGGGTCTTGATCTCCTCATTGTAATTACCRATGGTGTCAGAGTTGTCATCTTCTGACATCTCTAGAAGGTCTGGGTTGTATCTGGCATTTGGTGTCATTTCATAAGCATAGTCATCTCCATCTGACTCCATAGTTTCTTTTATGATSGGTGGGGAACTATTTAGTGTGTCTTTCAAATCCGTTAGAAGACCCTCTTCCTCAATTCTAGTATCTTCAGAAGTATCAACATCCATCTGTGATACTGGACTAGCAGGGACAACAGGTGACAAAGAGTCACGGTTTGCTGCAGGTGGCCTTCCCGCAGTCACCAAACTGATTTTGGCTGTTGTTGACAATGACTCCTTTCTTTCTGAGTTTAAACTCTGTAAGCTGTCTGTCAAATTTTGGGATCCACTCAGTGTTTCATTCTCACTTTTAGAAGAAGCATTTTTCAAAAGTATCTCTGCTTCCACAGGACCTGAGGAAAAAAATGAGAAACGGTCAATACTATGCACAAGGCACTGGATTTTCCTGTGACAGGAAACTATTGACACAGATTTCCTTCAYAGACAAGAAATCGTATGAAGAACACAGCATAAGTCATGCTGCAAACTTTTTTACATTCATATGCAGAAATACACACTCCTGTATTTGGCAGTTTCCAAAGAGAAATCTTCAATGGGACAGGAACTAAAGCTTGGAAGAACACGGCTTCCAGATTAGTATGGAAAAGTGACTCTGAAAAATTTAGCACGCCTGTTTTCCAGACATAAGAACTTCAAAGACATGGCAATGGCTTTGCACAACTTCCTAAAGAACAAGGTGAGCATTAAATCCAGATCAGAGCCCAATACCCCTCTTCTCTATCCAAAAAACAGTAAAAAACGATGCAGAGTGTGTTTATAAATAGCCAATTTTCTTAAAAACTAAAAATTAACGAACTACTCATGTTTACAGCACATCACTTCCAGATTCAAACCCAGAGGCACCTTAAAAAATGCAGAACAAATTTTAGAGTTTCAGTCTGCATTTTCATTTAAATAGGGGAACCATACTTGTCTTGTATTTTGGCTGTCAAACTAATTTTTCATTTTAAAAAAACAACAATACTTTCATTAAACACTTTCAAGACTCATTGGAAAGTTGTAGACTCTAAAAACGACACACTCAACCAACTGCTTGTGTAAGTAAAATATTATAGAGGGGACACTGAATCATGTTATTCATGAAACTTGTATATTTGCTGAAGCTCAGTTACAACAGAGCTCTTGTTTACATGGCACACTTTTGCAGTATGAATTASTCTTTAACCAACTGTGTAAAACACAGAAGACTCAACTCGTCTCACATGAGCCAGACACCACGGTGCCTCTCTGCTGAAGGTCAAAGTCAACAATTTCACATCTAACATACTTCTTGCTGCTGAAAAAACTACTTGTCTGAATTATCATATGAACATTAACTTGTTCAGTTCTTGTCTAGGACAACTTTAGGAAATTCTGATCTCCCCTCAGGAGTCAAACCAGCTAATTGCAAATGCAGAGATAAATATGAGGAAAGGCACTAGGCAAGACAGGTTCATATTTATAGCTAGTTGGCATATTGTGAATGAGGTCAGCCTTACTGCCACACTCCCCAAACAACAAAAACTATTAGAGAGTAACAGCTAAACAAACGTGTTTTTTTTGTGTAAAACTATGTTGGACCTGGCCTTACACTTCAAATTATTCTGGAATTCATTTCACCATGGAAGWTTTTGAAGGATATATGCTTAAATGCAAGGGACTCCCACCAGCTATTGCTGCAGCTTCAGACTGAGAAAGAGCAATTTCCTATTATTCCYAAAATTAGGTTGGGTTTCTTTGTTTTAATAGCAGCAGGAAGTTTAGCAGCTAAACCACAACTGATTTATTATACTTACCCAAAACTATTTGGCATTATAAACGGTGGTTGCACTGTTTACAGTTACACAACATTGTCAGATGATTYTAGATCCAGAGATGCCTCAGCTTCAGAAACAGATATTAATGTTCAATCATGGTGACAGAATTAGCAACACAGCCCTCTTAGTAAAAACACCACACATAACACAACATGGTTAAAATTCACTTCCAGGAAAACTGCTTTTAGAAAGCAAGTTGTTTCATGACTCCTGAAGTTAAAAACTTTCCGTTTTCTACACGTTTGTGTCCGRAATTCTTACAGCCTACTCATTAGACCAGGTGAGGGGCAACACAAATAGAGCTGGTGTGGATATACAGACTGACAAACACAGAAGGAACTGGTGGATTAAACAGTTCCCTCTATTTCCTTTCCTAATTCCTTTTTCTTCACTGCCCAACCAGTACTCCATCTAAAACAAAGAGAAATTCACTGCCCCTGAAACACACATYTCCTATTAGCCTTTGGTTATAGCCGTTTKTAAGTTTAATGGGGAGAAAGAAAAAACCCTTAACTAGGAGTCAACTTGCAGAATAACATAAGCTTAATTTCTAGGGGAGGGAGACACTAATGCCAAGCACACAGCCAGAGTATTTAGCAAAAAATCCCAGGTCTGATGAATGAAGTAACCAGCTACGCTGCCCTTCACAGCAACAAAAGCGGTGCACACCTGGCAGGCATCCCCCAGCCCTCCACCCCTGCGCACAGCCCAGCGCTCACTGCCCCCAACCCACTCCCAGACACACGAAAGGCGAGGCCGGACGCGGGGCCGGACCCGGGTGCCTCAAGGCACGACTCGCGCCGGCCGAGGGCCACAGAGCGCTCCGGGCCCAACCSAAGAGACCGGTGAGAGAGACCGGCGGGGCGCCGCGCAGCGCCCCCAGCCCGGAGCCAGCCCCCCGCCCGGAACCAGCCCMGCGGCGCTCACCGGCAGAAGGTTGCCCGCGGGCCGGCAG